AAAAATAAAAGGGATAGTTTTTGGGTAGTCATTTCTGTAAGTTATAGGTAGTTATTTCTAGAAGTTGTACTCCCTCCGTCCTAAAACTTTCTTCCCAGAGCACTATTCCAACTTCACGGGAATTTATATTTATTTGTGTTTTTTCATGGCCTATATGATAAAATAAAATATTCTTGTCACCACTTGTTTTGTTGAACTTTTGATGTAGTTTTTAAATATGTATGTTTTATTTTTTATTTCTATACCAATATTTAAATAAAATAGATTGAAAAAACTTGGGATTTTTCTTCGTTTTGCGCAACGGGAAGAAAGATATAGAACAGAGGGAGTATTAGTTAGTAATAGATGTGTTGATTAGTACCAATAGTTGTGTTGGTTGCTGCCTATAAATACTCCAGGAACATAGAATTCTTGTATGTAGTTCACAATAAAAAATCAGAATTTTATTCTGCATTTGATTTGTTCTTCCTATTATTTTTTCCTACAATGTTACGGTCAGATTACGCAAAGCTCACCACTAACCTCTGCAAAGCTCACCAAACTGTAAGGTAAAACTCACCATATTTTTTCAACACTTTGAATTTTTTTGAAAAAAATAAAATCAAAGAAAGGGGTGCTGACTAGATTTTGACCGTTCACCTCCACCTTTGACTGCCGCCTCCCACATGCCGTCATCGGCCGCCGCCATTGCTCCTCTGCCGGTCGCCGGAAGCCTCCGCCTCTGCTCCGCCACCGCCCGCCGCTGCTCCTCCGCTAGCTGCCGCTGACCGGTGGTTGACCGGTGTTGCTATTTTGTTTTAAATTAATTTTTAAATTTTTAAAATTAAAAAAAGGTGAGTTTTGGTGTTCAAAGTGGTGAGCTTTGCTTTATTTTCAGGTGAGCTTTGCATTATCCATTGATGAGCTTTGTAGTGTAGTGTGATGAGCTTGGCGTCATCTCACCGAATCATGTCATCTCACCGTAAGGTGTCATCTGACTGGAGTCAATCCCACATGCATGCATGCATGCATGCATGCATGCATGCATGCATACATACATACATACATACATACATACATACATACATACATACATACATACATACATACATACATACATACATACATACATACATACATACATACATACATACATACATACATACATACATACATACATACATACATACATACATACATACA